CAGGGGAGCGCGGGCGGGGGGACGGCGGTGACGGAAAGCGGCAGCGGGGGGGGACGGCAGCGGCTGGGTTGACTCCCCTCCCTTCCCCCCGCTCCCGGCCGGAGGAAGATGGAGCTCGGTTAGTAAGGGCTTGCGGGAGGAGCAGCGGGAGCAGGTAAGAGCTGCTGCTTCCTCCTCCTCCTCATCCTCTCCCCTGGCTGGGAGCATGGCAGGGGCAGGTCAGTGCGCGGATGGGCCGGTGTCATTCAGCGGCAGGTGGCACAGGTGGGCCCGGCCCGCAGCGGTGTCCTTGCCTGCGGGCTGCCCGCTCCGCCCCGGCTGCAGAAGTTCCCGCTGTGCGGAGCTGCGGTCAGGCGGAGGGCAAAGCCTTCGGCCGTCGCCGGTAAGGGCAAAGCCGGGCGTTTAGAAAGACCCCCCGCCCCCTGCCTCGGGCTTTTGTGGTGGGGTTGCGGGCAGGTCTGTCGGCTTTGCCCCCGCCCCGTCTCCCCCAGCTCACTGATGAGCTCCGGGAAGGGCTTCTGCATTGCAGACTCTCTCCCTAGCTTCGCTCCTGCATTCGCGGCTTTATCTGATATAAGGAGCCTGCTCCCTGGCCGGGTGGTCCGGTGCTGCTTGGCCAAGAGGCCCATTTGGGCAGGTGGTATCTCCTTCTGTGGTTCTGGACCCTGTCAGGACATTTGGGGGATTGACCTCATTCGGATAAATATTAGATGTACGCATGATATTTGTTATCTCTCTGAAAGAGCTACAAAAGGGAATCTGTTAGGATCTGTGTGAATAATGATCATTTGGAGTTCACAGGGTACAATACAGTGCAGTGACATATAATGTGCGTATAAAACATAATGCAGTGAGGCACACGACCTTACATAATCTAAATTTAAAAAGCTCACTACCCCTGTGCTTACCCTGGAGGTTGTAGGAATATGTCTGTTCTAAGCTCTTTCTGGAGGCTTGTTAAGTATCTATCTGACATAAAGATGAGGAGCCTCTTGTGAGCCAATACTGAAAATAAAAGAATAAATTGTTGACTACTTTTGCAGTAGTTCGGTCACAGTAAGTTCCTCATCACTGGTCAGCATCACGCACACAGTGGTACTCATGGCTACGTGGGCATACATAGCTCCACACCGCAAGAGGGAACGGTCTCTTCTGTTGTCCCTTAGATGCGCCTTTAAATTTACCAACTATAATGCTATCGTATTTTAACAACTCTTGAGGCTTCTCTCCCTAGGCCTGAATAGTGCTACAATTTCTAGCATACAGATATAAATTTAATGTAAACAGAAAGAAACCTTTCACACTTTTCATTTGACCTTCAGCATCTCGGACAAATACTTGAAATTGACGATCAGGGGAAGTATTTTGCAATGGACTCGTTTAAAATACATTGCTGGATGCAACATATACAAACTCAAATCACATCTAGGATGACACACAGTCAGTGTTCTAAGCTCTATATCCAAAGGAAACTAATGTCTGATAAATTTGGCCCACATTTTATTTTAACTCAGTCCTTACAGATGACATTGACTTTAAAAAAAAGGTTGCTATGGCACAGATTTAAAGCAAAGTATATTAAGCTTCTGGAATTGAAAGTGCTGTTGGTAGGAAAAGTGTTGTTTTGTTATTTATAATCTATTGTTATGAGTGTGATAGCTGTTGAGGCTGGATCTGGCTCCTTTTTCTGCTGTTGGTGTGAATGGACTAAATGGTCTCCCTTCTATGGATGAAGGCCAGATTTTGCCCAGGTGTGCATGTGCTGCTCAGACAGGGGCAAGCTAGATTTTCTCTATTTGAATCTGGAATAGAGCTGAATATCGATGCCTACCTTCCTCTGAGATACTTTCTGTTACAAGCCGGTATGCTTTTGATAAAGCTGTAACATTGGTCGTGGTGTGGAGGATAGAACCACTGTGGGCTATGTATGCCCACACAGCAGAAATGATGGTATGACATGGAATAGAAATGACGTTTTTGTGAATCTTGCTCTTTTGTGATACTACGTTTTTATGTTTGTAGCTTACAAGAAGCTCATTCATCTTCAGTATAGCTTAATTAATGTATAATATAATAACTGTTAAGAGTATGAGGCTGGGTAGAGATCAGGTGTAATAGACTAGTAATTTGCTATATGTATAGTGCAAAAGTAACTGATCATTTGCTTAATCATAATGTATCTATTTTTGAAAAAGGTAGTTTTTCACCAATGGGATCTAGAAGATTTTGGTCTTGGTTTACCAATACAAATTCAAATAAGGGTGATAATGGCTCGATGTTATAGACTCCAAGTAAGTGTGGAATGAGCAGGTGGGAAGGTACTTTGTCCTTTCATAGTAAGCCTACCTTTGCATCTTTCATTGCCCCTGGCACATCTCTCTTATAGTCATGTTGGCAGGTTCAGCAAAAAGACCAGGAACTGAAGAGACTTTCAGTGAATGGGACTCCAGGTCAGGAATCTTGTAGAGCTGTATACATGCAGGCATATGAACATTGACTCAGATCTTAACAATGCAACCATTGTGCTAATCATTGCCTAGTTGCCCTTTGTATTACTTATTAAAAAATTAGGGAATCTATGTTTTAATTAGCCAAAGTACTATATCTAGAACATCTGATTTTAATTTTAAACTCTATGTTTTAAATCTAATCACTGTGATGTTTTCACGTCATTTAGAGTCTTGTATGAGTTCATTGATATCATATCTGTGTTATTTGGGGAAAAAAATGCTATTTTATTAATTTTTTTGTTTACTGCATAGACACATAAGAACTTTAAAAATGCGTATATCATCTTGTTGTCACATACTGTCATTGGCTCATTATTGCCTTTAGACACAGTAACTTCTATAGCCTTAATAGGAGGGGAACGACACTGGCAAGGCATTTCCATGTAGTTATGTATTGCTGGAGAGAAAGCTGGGAGTTGAAAGAGGGAAAGGACTAAGGGAACTAGCAGAATATATGTCACCAGATAGTCCAGACCTCAGATTTTACAGTGCTTAATGAAGTCTACTTCTGTTTAATATATTCTGCCGTCCCAAAACCATCATGAAATATGAATCTCCTTTTGACGTGAATTTCGTAAAATATCTTGGGACTCATGTTAAGCAAAGATTAAACATAAACTTTTAATTAAGGAAATGGCAAGCCCCTAAAATATCAAGTGCAGCTGTTATTATATTGAGGATTGAAAGAAGTAGAAAAGACTTTGTTGGTGGTGGTGAAGATTTTGTAGTCTACTATTTAGATAGTATTATAAAGTATCATTTATAGTTGATATGCACTGCACAGCCGTGCAAATGCGTTCATAGATATTTAGACCAAAGCATAGAGCTAAATGGTATGTAGACCTTCTGAACAAATTAATCAGTGTTGCCCTAATGAAAAGACTGGGAGCTTAACTTGGCTGCTTAGATGGTCTGAAAATTCAGCAGTGTAGTCTTATGCAAGAGTAGAAGTTTACCAGTTCAAGTGCAATATAAATGTTGCATAGATGTTACACTGCATCTTTCTATATTTCTTTATTGTTGGTTTCCTAAGACAAAGGATGACACAAGACTGAGGAAGTCAGGTGTCCCCAGATAAGATGGCAGAACCGTCCTTAGATCCTTGATAGTAATTAATTGGTTTTATTTTAAAGGCAGATTAATTAGTATATGCATGTAAATGAAACAGTACAACTGTTTCACCATCAAGTATTTTCTAGGCTTTTTGTTTAGCTGTCCTTCCCCAACTACTGACCCAAGGGAATAAAACTGTAAATCTAACAAGCATGGAGATACTGGAGATATGAAAGACTTGACTTACAGTTCTTTTTTTATGTTGTTCTCCTAGCATAACTGCTTCTGTGATGAGTATTTCTGATTTTAAGTAGTTTGAAGAGACAAAGCTAATTCTGATGCATTTCAAGTCTCATTCTCAGTTTACTTAAGATTTTTGTTCTTCCTCTATTTGAGGTCAATGCTGTCTATTTTAGGATACGATTACACCAGTGATTTTTAGTCATAGTGCTTTGCTGTAGTGTTTTACTGCAGAAAATTGTTGACATTATCTGTACTTCTCTTATTTAATATCTCTTGGATGGACCCTTGGCAAAGCTTTAGGCTTGAAATAGAGAAATTGTTGAACTACCTTATTAGCTTTTATTAAAAGGGTTTATAAATTCATTTAATATCTTAGTCTTTCAGCCTTTTGAAGTATACTTTAACTTGAAAAAAAAAATCAGAAATCCCAGGACAAGAGTATGAGTTTTCTCTAAGATAGTTTGAAAATGTAATTTGT